ACGATTGCCCTAGGCACCGAAGCGAAGGGACGCCAACACGTGCTGCCCAGCCAGTGCGGGGTGTAGAATGGAACCGCGAGCAACTTGTTTGGGGGAGCGTGGGGACAGGGGAAGGGCAGCTCCTGCAGCTGTGTGCACTCCTGGGCAAGCATGGGGGGATGTGTGCCCCCCGGATCTGTGCATGGGGCAAGGGCAGACTGCTGCTGTGGGCTTTGCCCAGAGCACCAAATTTCATTGCTATGGCACTGATTACAGTCTTAGCATGCATATGATCCTAAATCACTTGCTAGGCTTCAAAGACAAACCAAGGTAGAAAGTAAATAAACTCATACTGGGCACATCTGCATGAGATGTTTACTGTGGAGTTGCCTAACTAGCTTCACAGTAAACTTCTCGCATCTACACGTGCAGTGCTATTAGGCTATGGGAAACTAATAAAATCCTCAGCACAGTAGTACTTGTAAATACAAGTACTATCCTACTGTGGAGTTATTTACTGTGAAGCAACGCATGTATAGACGCTAACCTGGGAGTAAATTGTTGCCAGGCAGCCCAGCCAGCATAGGGGCCACCATCCTGCCTGTTGCCCAGCCACATGGCTTGGCAGCCACAGGAGCCTCATGGCTCAGCCAGCTCCCCCACCACTTGATGCAGCCACCTGCTTCTTGGGCCTGACCTCGTCCCCCATACCCTCGTGCCAGCCCAGAGCTGCTCCCCAGACCTCAAGCTACACTGCCACTGCCAGCTGGAGCCCAGAGCTGACCCCCATGTACCCCCCACCTGGTACCAGGCAGCTACGGCTGGAGCCTGGAGCTCATCCTGGTTACTGCAGGGGGGAGAGGAGGGCAGGACTAGCCCCGACCTAAACTGCTTATCCCTGGCTCAATTTGCTGCTGTCTTGGGTGCATATATGGATGCTGCACCCAGGACTAGTTTACTGTGGAGTAATTTGTTTTGCAGTTTAGTCAGTCACATTAATGGCACATATAGACATGCCCACTGTATGGAGCAGAAGTGTATTGTAGTTGCTGTCTTCTCTTGCAAGTGCTCATATTTGATGGGTGGGTTCCAAAGGACCATCTTATGGAAAGGAGGAAAGGTTCCCATATTACCTACAGAGCCTTTGAAGAAAAAAATGTTTGAATTGCAGTAGACCTACAGCATCATCCCTCCCCAGAAAACACCCCTGTTTATGGAGCAGAAGCAGCAGTATATTTACAGCTTTCACTAAAACAATACAATAAATTATGAATTTTTTATTTATATATATATATATATATACACACACACACACACACACACACTCATAATAATTTTTCCTAAACTCCTACAATGAGATTATTCTACCAGTTTAAACTAAGTTAAAAGAGAACATAGTGTATGATGATACAAAAAATAGACAAAATGAAGCAGTGGATAGTAAATTAAAGAAGGGGAGTTCTGTTTGATTTTGACGCTTCTTCTTTATGTGAGTAACTCAGATACACATAGGGATTATAGGACAGGCTAGTGTTGTTGAAGATGAAATAATAAATATCTCCTAAATATTTTGGCTAGAATACAAATAAGACTAATAGGACAATGTGATGCAGGGTCTCTCTCACTGCCATTTTGAAAAATCTGTAGTTATATTTTCATTTTAATATTTTGGATAAAAGCCTTCTAGAATAATCTTTTTGTTGTTGTTGTTAAAATTGGACATCACCCATCACTGAATTTCCTTTCTGTGGGAAGAAAATCAGGGCCAGGGGCCTTCCCAGTACTTAGTAAGAATCTATGTATTCTTACTTGAGATTCAGAAGTAAGATAATGATATCCTTGCGACTTAACAGATGAAATTTCCTTCAGCAAGAAGCCATCATTTCCTTCACCATCTGTGAGTAAGTTGTTAAACTTAGTTTTAAAAAACAAAAGCCATGGATCTTCAGAAATATACTCATTGGGGAATTAAGCTAAATATTTTGTCCCTTTGACTATAATCTGCCAAAAATGTTGATTATCATTATTTTTTCCTCCAGCTATCAGTTCCTCCCCTACATTTTCTCTATATTAGGTTTTTTATGGCTTATTTTAATCTTCTTGGTCCATTGGAAACTAGCATAATCATTTTTAGACTTGTATTCCTCCAAGGCTTCTATTAAGTCATCCTTAGCTTTAGTATAGTTCTTATCAAATCATGATTTATGCCACCAACACAACCTATCCCCAGACCTTACGAGTTTATAATATACTGAATTTCAAATAGCATTACTTAATATGCCAGTTGAAAGCTCTTTTCTGTGTGTTTTCAAAAAGTGGCTTTGTATATTGCCATCAGATAGTACAATTTGTTAAAAAGTAAACATTTGCCAATTGTCACTACAAATTTCTCCTGTTATCATTGTATGTAGGTAGATGACTATTAATACTCTTGTGTTGTAATGTTACAAATGGATTTATTTTTCCTCTTTTGACTTGGCAACTATATCTGCAGTTTAGAATTGCATTTGGAAAAAGCCATATTGGAATTTTTCTCTAGTTACAGGTCTCTGTAGCATCAGTATAACAGTTATTAACGTCTTGAGACTAATGATCAATATGAAACCTTCATATCTAAATGATGCTTTTAAATATCATGAAATGCTTTTAAAACCAGTTTTAGACCTTTAATAATATTTCTTCTCAAGAAGAAAGGAGGGATACATCATTTATTCCATAGTTTGATTTTGGTTCTTTCTTGCTCTTTCATTCTGTTTTTGCTTTTTAGGCTCACAATTGAATTTGAAATTCAAACAGAAGCCGAATCAGGCTTGATTTTTTATATGGCCCGGATCAATCATGCCGATTTTGCAACTGTACAGATAAAGAATGGACTGCCTTACTTCAGCTATGACCTTGGACATGGAAATACCAGCACAATGCTTGCCAAGAGCATTAATGATGGCCAGTGGCACACGGTACAAAGCTCTTCAATTCTTAAAAGCACTGTAGTTTTAACTTGTCCAAGAGTTCTGCATGGAGAAATTTATATGGGCTAAACTTTTGGACACTGACCATTAAGTTGTGCTTCCATTATTTTTCCTTTGAGGTGCCCAGGCAATTGTAAATTGATGTTTTGAAACTCTGGTATCATTATTTGAAAATTTGGCCTACAAATAAAGACACTTGCAGAACATATGATAAATGTAGTAGGGAAAATCAGAAAGCAGTATAAGGTTCTCCAGTGTGGCCCAGCTGAGTTGCAGAAAGGTTTCATACCCAGTGAGACACATCATTAGAGTTCCCATCTTTTGAAGTATCACTGTGACTGAACTGTGACATGATTTAAAAGCCAAAAAACCTTCACAAAAAAAAGAAAAACAACTGAAGTCAATTTTGCTTGCATAGTTACCTCATTTCATTGGGGAGCAAATATGATATTCATAGACGTTTGGCAGCTCTTCTGTGGTTTTAGGAAAGGAAACATTTATGAATATAAAATGCCAGTGGCCTGTGGGTAACAGGAGTAGGAAAACACAGTACAACCACCAAGGATTATATCTACTGAGATAAAGGCAACAAACAGATTATAATTTTATTAGGTACAAACAAAGGTGGAGGATGTAAATAAAGGCAAGAAGGGGAATTGGCTGAAAATCACATATGGCTTCAAATGTGAGATTTACAGCAAGTCCAAACTCTTTCTACCCCCTGTAGAAATTTTTTAGGAATGCACACACAAAAGTAACTTTCATTTTCATTAACAGTCAAATGAAAATTATTCATTTCAGAATTAATTCGAAGTTTTTTCATCAGAAAGGCAAAACCAAAAGATTTCAGGACAAAATAAGGATGATTTTATTCATAGTTTCATAGTAGCTAGGGTCAGGAGGGACCTGAACAGATCATCTAGCCTGACCCCCTGCCACAGGCAGGAATGAATGCTGGGTTCACAAGACCCCAGACAGGTGATTATCTAACCTCTTTTTGAATTTACCCAAGGTAGGGGCGAGGAACACTTCCCTAGGATGTTGGTTCCAGATTTTGGCCACCCTAACTGTAAAATATTGCCTCCTGATCTCTAACCTAAACCTATTCTTCATCAGCTTATTACCATTGTTCCTTGTCACCCCAGGTGGTGCTGGGGAGAATAGGGCTCTACCTATTTGCTGATGATCAGCCCTGATGGGTTTGTAGGCAGCCACCAGGTCCCCCCTCAGCCTCTGCTTGCTGAGGCTGAACAGGTTCAGGTCCCTCAGTCTCTCCTCATAGGGCCTGTCCTGCTGCCCTCTCACCAAACGGGTGGCCCTCCTCTGAACTCTTTCCAGGCTGGCCACATCCTTTTTAAAGTGCGGTGCCCAATACTGGACACAGTACTCCAACTGCGGCCTGACCAAAGTTGCATAGAGGGGGAGTATCACCACTCTGGACTGGCTTGAGATGTACCTTTGGATGCATGACAAGGTATGGCTGGCCTTGCTGGCTGCGGTCTGGCATTGGCGGCTCATGTTCATCTTGGAGTCAATAATGACTCCAAGATCCCTTTCTGCCTCTGTGCTTTCAAGAGGGGAACTCCCCAGCCTGTATGTATGCTGTGGATTCCTTCTCCCAAGGTGCAGCACCCTGCATTTGTCTACGTTGAACCCCATCCTATTGTCATCTGCCCACTTTTGTAGTCTAAATCTGGTTGCAGCCTCTCTCTCCCTTCAAGTGTGCCCACCTCGCCCCACATCTTAGTGTCAACGTGGAGAATGTGCTTTCAACCCCCTCATCCAAGTCGCTGATGAAGATGTTAAACAGTGCAGGCCCGAGGACTGAGCCCTGGGGTACCCCACTGCTCACATCTCGCCAGGTTGAGTACAACCCGTCCACCACTACTCTCTGGGTGCGCCCCATCAGCCAGTTTTTTACCCATCCAACTGTGCAGACATCAATGCCACATGTTGTTTATTTGTATTACTATAATACTCAGAGCCATTATTAAGGACCAGCCCCTATATATAGAACAAAAGAGTTACTCCCTGCCACCAAATACTTATAATGTAAGATCCTCATGGAGGTTATCTTTTCCTCTTTATAGCCCATCTCCTCCAAAAAGGAGATGAGGGATAGGGAACAACTGATGCATCATGCTCTCGCTTTCTGTTGCTGGAAACTGTTCAACATGGAGTCCCTGCTTACAGTGCAATACAGAAGGTGTGGATCACACCCTGCAAAAGAGAACAGGGGCCACTCCCATGAGCCTTGAATGAGCCCAGATCTTCTAATTTCCAGCCAAACCATTTGGGAGGGGGGGTGGGGGGCAAAGAAAAAAAGTACCATAATATTTTGCAAAAAGGAGGTTTTTTATGAACAAATTCACTCCAGTGAAAACCAACATTCCATTGAAGAACAGCTTAGAATATTTTTAAGAAACAGCAGTGAAGATGCAGCACTCAAGGTTAGTCATGGAAAATCACCAAAATAGCAGTGGCAGTTAGGACCTAAGGGACTCTTCCCTTATCCTAGTGTCCTGCCTTACCAACCTATCCTTACATCAGCTCCTAACTTCTGCCATCTGTATCATACTCCATTTCAATGAAAAACAATGGTGAAAAAGGTGGTGAGGAATGAGCTAGCCTGATCCCATAGCCTGATCTTGCTGCTCACAAGGTCAGCTCCCTAATATCTCTTACATGTTACCTAAAATCCTATCAGTATCCCATTTGACAATATCCTCAGCACCAGCAAAATATGTTAGTTCTCTGCACCTTAATACAAATTGACCTGATAGACCTCTGTGCCCCAGAGGATGATAGGGTGAATGTAAATAACTGTCATAGCAAAACACTTGAGCTGCTTTGGGGAATTTCACGAGGAGAAGTTTAGAGACACTTTTCATGGGTGTCTCCAGTCCTTACATCTGCCTTTCCTTCTTTTGAAACCCATTACCAAACCATATGATACTATTATTGCCCTGCATCATTAAATCTCCATCTGATGCCATATCATAGCTACTTAAACTCTGTGGCCCCTTTATAATAATAGTCATTCCCCCATGTCTTTGCTACTGACCAAATCCCCCTTCCACCTAGGTCAGCACCGTACCTCAGATTCACCATCCGTTTGTCCTCCGTGCACTATTACCAAAACTTCCTAACTCCTGTCAATTGTCAGTACTTCCTACTGCAAATACAGAATACTCATGACTGGTGTGCTATGACACTGAACAAAGAGAGGACTTTTGAAAAGCAACACCAAGAAAACAATGTGCAGTTTTTACTATTTGAATCAGTTAACTGTTGAACAGTGTTCTTTACAAAAGCTACCACAGTTTTGTTACATGCACACTCTTCTTGGTACTTAGCCTTTTTAATACACAGAAGTATTGTTGCAGAGATTCTGGCACAATCTTTGGAAAGAAAGGGACTTAAAGCAGAGGCATAAAAGAGCAGCTGGGCACCCAGGGCAGTAGCAACAGCATGGGAGCATCAGCAACTACTGACCACTGGCGCTGCCAGAGCAGCCGTATGGTGGGAGCTGTTATTTCGCTGCTTCCACCCTGCAAGTTGACACTCAGGACTGCTGCCCTACTTGCCTTTTCATTGTTATTACAGGCAGTCCTCAACTTACAATGTTTTGAGTTATAATGTTTCACACTTCCAACATTTATAAATTGACACCCTGTTTCAACTTTCTGACAGTCAGTTTTGACTTTACAATGTTTGATCTGATGCGATGCCACGCCAGGGAACAAGTTTGCTGCGTCGCTCATCTCCCTGGAGAACATCTGTCCAAACTTCCTTGGACACTTTCTTTAAGAAAGCAGACAAGACTCCAGAAAAACCTGCTGCAAGACTCCTGAGAAGAATCCAGCCAAGAACCTTTTAAAAAGTCCAACCAAGAGCCCTTCAAAAAGTCCAGCAAAGTCAACTCAAAGAAGTCCTTCCAAATCAATATGATTGCTATTTACAATATAAATCATTAATGTAGCTATATTACTCATCTATAATTGATCGAGTACAAAATTCTGGGGTATTTTTGGTGAAAATAGGGTATCAGGCCTTGGTTCAGGAACCAATCCCCCATTTATAACATTGTTTCATACGAGAAAATTGGTTCCGAGTTACAACATTTCAATTTAAGACATGGTTTTTAGGAACCAATTGTGTCGTAAGTCCAAGGACTGCTTGTATACTGACTTAGCGTCTAGCTAGAGTTAGAATTAGAGCAGCTCTTTAACAGTTGCAGTCCTTCCATTTGATTCACATTCTCCTTATCTACAAAGGAACCTAACTTAGCCTATTATCACTCGTACTCCAGCCTGAACTAGTAGTATGTCTAAACTGGAGGAATATAAACTTATGTCTTAAGATACTTGCCTATAAATTTGCAGTTATCATGATATCTTCCTTATGTTCAAAAGAGTAGAAGCATTGCTATCATTGTAATAAGACAGACATTAAGCTTTCAAATGGCACGTCTTACTTGTAGTAATTTTAATAAGTTGCTTACCGCCATGTTTTTTATTATACATTTTGTTCTGTTGTTGCGAGATCCCTAGGAGAATGATCCATGAATATAGCTATGTGCTACCACAATGCAACTAATTAATAACAGTAAAAATGCCTACCTTTTTCTTTACATGTGGGGTTCTACACACAATGCTTCTTATCTGAAGTTAAAGTGGAAGCCAGGATTTATGATGAGGAAAGCACCCTTTGCATTAGTTATCTGTTACCAGAAAAATCTTTCTAATATACTTTTTATTTCATTTCTAGATAAAAATAGCCCGAAACAAGCAAGAAGGAATCCTTACAGTAGATGGTGTTTCAAACAGTACCACCAGCCCCAAGAAGGCCGATATCCTGGATGTTGTAGGAATGCTGTATGTTGGAGGATTGCCCATTAACTACACAACCAGAAGAATTGGTCCAGTAAGGGAGAAAGTTTAATAATAATAACTCTTTTTGCAGCCTTTAATTGTGTTTTGACAAGTAGCAGCATCCATATTTCTTTTTGTAAAATATTCAGGAAAATGGTTAAAATTTAACTCTTTGAAGTCAGGAGGAGAACTTCAGTCATACTCCAGTTGATGCCAAAAATTGAAACTAACCTACAGACATTATTTGGGGGGAAAAAGAAGGGCTTTGTGTGCTTGGCTGCAGCTAATATTTTGGGTGAATAGTACATATGAAGAGAGAGTGAAAGTCAAAGTAGCAAATCCATGCATCTGGATCTAAGCACCTGTATAGAGGGGATGAAGAGGATGCAGAGCTCCAGATCTAGATGTGCTAATCAAATCTTCAAATACATTCCAGGTGATCAAATACCATTCCAGTCAGGCTGCTCTCCAGGGGCAGAACCCACATATCACTTCAGACAAAATAAATGTGAGAGAGAAATTCTGTAGTCAGACAAGCAAGTCACTAAAATAACTTGAGGAAATAGGGTACCAGAAGACTCAGAATCAGTATCCTATGATAAAAGACCTACAAGATCATACTGACTGTTTAATTTCTGTTTATGCTGAATCAATCAAGATAAATGAGTCGATCACTTAGATTATCAAAGCATATTTGGGGGCCTGAGCATTCAAGAAAAATATTTAACTATCCATAAATAGTCCAAAAATGTTTACACTGCCATCTTTGAAAATACAACCACAAGTAATTGATGTTATTTCAAGGAAATGAGCTCACCAAAATCCTTTTCTGGAGTGAGGCCTAGCCTGACAATGATAATCATAGAATCCTAGGGTTGGACTGGAACACAGAAGTCATCTAGACATTACACTTGAGACATCATTAACCTGAATGCACCATAGGTTTAGGAAATTAATGGTGTGACAAAATGGAAAACCAGTCACAAAAATATTCCACAAACTGTGGCTGGTGTAATATTTTGGTGGCTGACAATTGGTAATGGCATGATTGAAATCTAATACATTATCTCAAAATCCTACATCCTGCCATGCACATGTAACATGGCAGGAGGCACAATTATTGGGACTAAAGATGAAATCCCATTGAACGATTGAATGAATGTATGCCAGGTGCGCAAGCTGTCTAGGCCAACCCCTATCAAAGACATGATTCATGTATTCATGTAAAATTCTGATTGTTTTAGTACATCTTGGGATTTTAATGGAGCTATGATTTCAGTGTTATTTTATCAAGTTAAATTCAATACTTTCATCCTCCAAAATCTGTGTTGTGCTATATACTCTGAAGTATATAGTATATCGGCTAGTATATGTGCTATATACTATGAAGATTTTAAAGCAGGTTGAAAACATGTATCAGCTAAGTTAGGGCTTCCTACTAATTACACATAATATATACATTGTTAACAACAGAATATATGCTAATTTCATATTAGACTCAGAGTGGTGTAATACCTATGTTTTTGGTTTGCATAAGTTTCATCATATTACAAATTTAAATTTAATTCTTCTCTTTGCAGTCCTGGGCTCTTAAAATTTCCTTGTTCTAAACAAGATTTTCCACAAGAGTAACAGTAATAATCATGTTTTAAAAAATCAACCCACCCTTCTAGCATAAAAATTCAGGTTCAAGCATTCCATAGCAGATTTCTAGAAACTTAATAAGAACCTTGAATTAAACTCATACATTTGCTTCACTCATTCAAATCTGTCAGGTTTTGACAATCTCATGGATTTGGAAAGTTTGGATATTTTGGTAAGAATACTCATTGGCATGAAAAAATCTTTAATCAGGTATCTTTTCTGAGATTGTAAATTGTCAGAATTTGTTAGTGAGCACACAATTAGATTCAGTAGTTATATTTGGTTGCAGGGGCTTTGTTCTTCAAAGTTCAGGGAATGAGCATTATGGCAAAGGCTAGGACAGAAAAAATTAAGACCCTCTGGTAAACAGTATTTTAGATGCAATTCTAGAGTGGCCATGGATAAGTTCATATGGAAGACTATATATGAAGCTTGCATTTACTTTAGAAAGGGTTTTATGTATGAATCAACATGGTCCAGTAAAAGCATAGTTTTAACATATACAGTTAGACACCTGGTACAGTGATAAACAAAGCATCTAATGATGTTTCAAACCCTCTTGAGAACACTTCCCCTGGCCTTTGTCCATTGGCTTCATTGGACAGCACATACAATACTCAATTAAAGAAGTAAATTATGGGCCATTAAATTGTTGTATTGTTGATGAAATGTGTTACATTTCATTATGCAATATATTATTTTATGTCTCCTCCATTAAGCCAGTGAGATGTCTCAGTCTTGTGACATTAGATTGCTGAGATTTCAGAAAAAGTAACATAAATAATCTGCAATGTCATGAAGATTATATTCCAGTTATAATCAGGTATTAAGGACTAACCCACAAAAAATTTGACTCATTCATATCCATATATCCAGCAGGGAATTAAAGAATCAAAATAAGGAGAACTTCTAATGACATGGGTAAGCCCTTCCATATGAACATCTTAGTTGCTTTGGACAGTAACACTTTCTGTTTAAAAACTGAACACAGGTCGTCTATAGCATTGATGGTTGCATCAGAAATTTTAAAATGACAGAGTCTTCTATTGACTTGGATAATCCAACCTCCAGCTTCAATGTTGGCAAATGCTTTACCAGTGCAGAAAAAGGAACATACTTTGATGGAACGGGATTTGCTAAAACAGGTAATAATCTTGAATATTCCTATTGCTAAAAGTTATAGTTGGTGGGAATGGCACCAAAAATTATGCTTAATCCACATTGGCTAACCAACTAAGCACCTTTGAAATAGATCATGTGTACTTCCAGCAAGATCTCATAAGTACTGCTATGATGAGCCAATATTTACATTGACTTCTTATAGACTGAAACGCAGTAAAAATATTGTGTTGACTTGATTTACTCACAGTATGTTGCATGTTATCATTAGCAATAATCTCTTGTATGCTTTGTTACTCTGTTTTGCACTTCCCTTCCCCCAGTTGGAGCTTACAAAGTGGGAATAGACCTTCGAGTGGAGCTTGAATTCCGTACAACTCGAATGAATGGTGTTCTGCTGGGAATCAGCAGCCAGAAAATGGATGGACTCGGCATTGAGTTAGTAGATGGAAAAGTAAGTTGTAAATGTCTTTAGTAGGGACATAAGATATGATGTTTCTGAGTCTCTGTAGAGCATTTTGAAAAGCATAAACAATTTAAATTCCAGATTATTACAGTAAAATCAAGATACATGAGCTGAGATCAGGACCCCATTATGGCTAGGGACAGACGCACAAAAATCCTGAGCCTGAATTGATTCAATCTTTGCAGATTAGTCTAACCTGGCTAGACTGAATCAGTTGGTAACTGGCCAGACATCCCAGAAATGCAGGCATATGCCTGTAGTGGCTCAGGCTAGAAGCCAGGGGATGCTAGAGCAGCCCTCCCTTCCCTTGCACACTGCTGAGCTGAGGGGGGTGTGGCCAGGCCCAGGCAAGACACTCTAATTAGGGAGGCTTCCCCCTGCCCCACTCCTTCTGACCAGCCCAGCAGGGTATTGATAACACAGTGTTTATCACCCCATTAAGAAAACAAAAGAGAGACATTACCAGCTACCTGTTGATTCTGCCTTTGTCCCAGCTGCCACAGCATGGACTATAGTCAGCATGTGGTCTGCTACCTAATACTGAGAGGTGTCTGGGTAAGGCAGAGGGGAGGGGGAAAATCCCTGCTTAGCAGGATGTGGGGAGGGGAGCAGTGGAAATCCAGGCAGATGCCTGCAATCTCTGCTGAGCTGCATCCAGGAAGCAGGGGAGCCCTGCTGTTGAGCAGAGAGCTCCACCCAGTCCAGAGAGCATGCCAGGATGCTGGGGAGAGTCTGGTTTAACTTAAACCACCAAGGGGTCTGGGACAGACATTGTATAAACTGGTTTGACCCAAATCAGTTAAGTCTGATATTACATTCAGGTTTATCTCAAACCAGTTTCAGCCATTTTCAAACTGGTTTATGTGCACTGAACATCTGTTCTGTTACAGGTTCAAACCAGTTTCTGATCACTTAAATTGGTTTATGTGTAATGTCTGTCCCTGGCCTATATGCCAAATGATTGTTCTGTTTCTGAAATGGTCTGGTTCTTCTGGTTTCCCTAAAACATAGTGCTTTATTCTGTAGTGCAGCTGTTTCCCAAATTGTAGCATCAGGATCTGTGTTAAGAGGAATGTCCCTAATCATCGATACAGTGTCTCTCACACCACATTTAGTTCCAGAATTTCATTCCTTATACATATTTCTGGTCTTCGCAAAATTTTTATAACACATTTTATCCAGCAGCTGGCTGCATTTCGAAGTGAAATAGTTTATTTTGTATATGACATGCACACAAACCAGCATTTTATTGTTGTTTAGTATAATTTGGCAGCAGAAAATGACAAATGGTACCCACAGATTTGCACATTCCTACTAATGTAGACCCCAGTGTTATCAATGGAACCACATGAGCAAGCTCTATTACTTTCAGCAAGGCTCAGCCTTGTACAAGGGCTCACCTCTGAGGAGCTGGGTACAAGATCAGAGCCCCAGTTGGAAATAAAATAGAACTAAAGTGGAGCAAGTTGGTTTGAGTAGTATGAAAGCAGTCTGTATTTTATTTTAAATCTGTATATAGCATTTGGGAAGAGCTGACTTAGTGGCTGCCAGGCTACCAAATTATGTATGATTATTGTTTTGGTAACCAGTATATTTCCCTTCTTTTTATGTTACACTCTTCAGTTAATGTTCCATGTGGATAATGGTGCAGGAAGATTTTCTGCAATTTATGAACCTGATGTACCAGGAAGCTTGTGTGATGGACAGTGGCACAAGATTATTGCAAACAAAATCAAGCACCGCTTAGAGCTGACTGTAGATGAGAACCAGGTAGATGGTAGCAGCCCAAACAGAGCCTCCACATCAGCAGAAACAAACGATCCTGTCTTTGTTGGAGGATATCCTGGTGAGTGTCAAGTACCCAAAGACTCAGTACTGACATTCAAAAAGCCCAAGGTCTTAAAGTTTATTAGATTGCATGCACTAACACCAGTGGACATAGCATGGGTAAGAAAATTCAAGCTTGTATCCAATAAGAGCATTCATACCAAATTCCCAGATCTCATTCCAGTGGATTTTGAGAACAGAAGTGCTGCAGAACCAAATTTCTATGTGTTTCAGCTATGAAATCCTACACATTTTCTTCTTCACCCTGTAATAAACACTCAGTTCTAGGATACTGGTGCACTTGCAGACATGAAGAGAAATAAAATATTCCTTTCTTTTCCCATTTAAACAACATTTTTCATAGCCAAGCAAATGGCAATGGTGTTTGGCAAACTAAAATTAAACTACTGAAAGGGTTTATGTGCTATTACTTGAAAAAACAATTGGTGCATAGTGATCATATAGCATAAAGCTCATCCTGAAAATTCAAATTAAAGATGTGGTGAATAGTTTTCAGAGGAAGACGAGGCTCCTCTCCTGTGGTGTTTGTTGCCATAGCACAACCTGTTCTATTTTTAAGTCAAACCAAAAATTGCTAATCATTAGCATTATACAAGTCCTAGAGAGCAGTCACTTCTAGCAGAAGAGATTAAATAAAATATCAAGCTGAGATGCCTCATTATTCAAGCCACTGATAGAGAATATTCACAGCTAACTGTTCATAAACAATCAACAGGCCTATTTGGTGAATAACTTTTGAAAAGCAAATCTATGAATATTGTAAACTCTGCCTAGCACTACTTTATGCTAATTCTGCAGTACTTACTGATATTTTGTGCTTTCTTGTGGGCAGAAAGAAACAAAGGATACATAATCCAATGCCCACTGAAGTCAGTGTCCAGACTTTCGCAGGGAACAACAGACCAGTTTCTAAATCTTTTGCCTTGATTTTTACCCTGCCCATGTATATAAAACAGAATACCCAATAATATTAGGGTATGGGCATGCTGTCACTTCTGCTCGGTATGACAGAGGCTGGGTAACTCCTGCATATTGTATAGAACAAAAAAATGCGTATTTTTGATAGCTGCAACCTTTGAGCATAGACAAATAAGCAACCATAAGGAAAGCTAGAATCTGAGCCTGTAGCACATCACCTACTTTAGGGTAACTTCCGATTCAAGGTAAGTTACTACTCAATGAAAGTGTAGTACTTTGCTACCTCTCATTTGCCTAACTTATTTCATGGTGGATTGCTTGTTTGCCCATACCCTTAGCCTTCAGCTTTTGCAGGTGTTATCCAAAAGTATTTCTCTGTAGTTTGGCACCTATGAGAGAACCAGCTTTTATCATACTGATTAATGAATTGAGAGTGGTGTGCCAAAAAGGTGTTCAGTGCTGCAGTGTATTTACAACTCCAACCTGAGAACGGATAGTAACAAAATGCTTTCTGATAGAGTGAGTTACTAATTCTGAGATGCAGTTAGCCGCAAGATGCATATGTGGGTCTAACACTGAAGCCTGCATAAAACAACCTTACACCACATCTGTTGAAATGAACTAGAGCCAAATTCCAGAATGTGAGCACTGATAAATATTTTTACTATACACATTTGACCATCTCATTTTTCCTCTGCTGATTAATTCATTTCCCCCAACACTTATTTTAACCTTCCAAATACCTGAGCATCTTCACATATTTTCCACTTTTTTAATCAGTCTGCTAAAGAATTGTATTCTCCTCCTTCCAAATGTGGAACTTTCCCAGCTATCCTTGCCCAAGCCACAGAGCAGAAAAGATTTGGTCCAAGGGCTGTGACAGCTTTTCTGTGTACAAATGTCACAAATTTAAAATCCATTATTGTGGGATCTTACAGGACTAGAAATGAGGTCTGGATTTTCCAGTTCACTGAGGCTTCTCCGTGCTGTATAAGCAGTGCAAAACAGCTATAAAGCAGTTGGCATGACCTAGTGAAAAATTCCCTCGTGCAAAAGAACTCTGAGCCAGCAGCAAGCTGGCAAAGACAACTCCAATACATCCTGTACCAGCCACTGTCTCTCTCCCCTACCAGGCAGGGTAGGGGAAGGACAGATGGGCCTTACAGCAAGGAAGAACAACCAGCTCCCTGTTGCCATTTTTCTACAGCCTGGGAACTTCAAACAGTTGCAAGGGGAAGTTTTGATTCTCCCAAAAGATTAACATTTACTTCTAGGAACTTTGAATCTATAAAAGCTCTTTAGGGTCATTTCCAATGTTTTTATGGCTTCCTTGGAGCCTTGTACAGTTGACCTCAGCATAACAAAAGTTCCTAGCTATATATACCTTTGCGTGACATATATATATATGGAACAAATATATATACTGTGTGTGTGTGTGTATACACACACACATATACTCACACATACATATGTGTGTGTATGTGTGTGTGTGTGTATATATATCTCTATATCTATATATGGATGTATATAGATATAGATAGGTCTATATATATATCTATATCTATACACACATTCATACATACATATACACACACACACACATATATAGATATACATATATAGAGAGAGATATATGGAACAAATATATATACCGCATGTGTGTGTATACATACCTATGTGTGTGTGTGTGTGTGTATAGATATAGATAGGTCTATTTATATATATCTGTATCTGTACACACATTCATACATACATACACATACACACACATACACACACACACAGTATATATATTTGTTCCATATATATATATCTCACACAAAGGTATATATAGCTAGGAACTTTTGTTACACTGAGGTCAAGTGTACAAGGCCCCAAGGGAGCCATAAAAACATTGAAAATGACCCTAAAGAACTTTTATAGACTCAAAATTCCTAGAAGTGAATGTTAATCCTTTGGGAGAAACAGAACTTCCCCCTTGCAACCATCTGAAGTTCCCTGGTTGTAGAAAAATGGCAACGGGGAGTTGGTTGTTCTATAGATAGATAGATCTATTTATCTATATATAGATACAGATATCTATATATCTATACATTTATCTCTCTCTCTCTCTCTCTGTATATGGATATAAGTATGTTTGGAACAAAATACAAATGCCACCCTCTAAAATTTTTTTTGTTGAATTTTCTCCAAAAAATTCCTAAATCAGTACCTACAGCACAGACAGGTACAGGGCATTATACCTTATGGGAAGATCTGACAGAAGTCTTTCTTAGGACTTTTTGTCACTTGTTAATGCTGTTCTGATCCCAGTCTCAAGCTGAGGAACCCATATCTCTCATGTAAATAGAACATAAGCTGGAGATCCACAGAAATGTTATTTTACTTGATACATCATTTTGTTTGAAAACTGCCATTTGGTCCCCACAGAAAGTTTGGGAGAAGCTTTATTTAATTCTTTGCCACTCTAATTAAGATGTACATTTAAAAAGGAAGATGTAAATGGTTTCTGATTTTTTGCTACCATCACAGTATGGAAAGAGAAAGGCAGAAGACTTAATAGATACCACTAAATCAAGAATTTATCAAAATCTTTAGAGGTTTTGCAACTTTTATGCTAAGGAATTATATGAAGCAAGTAAATATTAAAGAGAATCTACCAACAAGGGGAGAAACTTAAAGAAAAAAAGTGGGTTTTCAAAGGGTCTTTTTTAAATTCCTTTCACCTTTTTTTCCAGATGGCCTGAACCAGTTTGGGTTGACCACTAATATTCGCTTTAAAGGATGCATTCGATCTCTGAAGCTTACTAAGGGCACTGCTAAACCTCAGGAAATTAACTTCAGCAAAGCCTTGGAGCTCAAGGGTGTCCAGCCTATGTCATGCCCTGCCAACTAGCATAAGATCATTCAGGTGATATGGGTTGGATTGCATAAGTGCCTTAAATTACTTTATATACATTACTTTCATAAATAAACCATCTTTGTGCAAGCATTTTGAGTTGTGTCTGTGATATATATATATCCAAATGGCAGTATTTCAAGCTACCTTCTGATACTTAGGGTTTTCTTTCTTTAAGTGAATGAAGTGATTTTTCATATCTAGTCTTCTTTGTTTTGAAATCAAATTGTGCAACTTAGACGTTCAGTGAGCCAGCCTGTACAATACAGAGATGTGTAGAGGTATGCGGGGTGGGGGGGGTGGGGTATGCGTGTGTGTGTTCATATTTGTGCATGTATACTTCATAAAAAAATATGTTAACTTATTTCTAAGAGATTTTTTTGTTCTGGCTGCTTCCATTAAAACACACGTATTCAATATAATACTTTTCATAAAGATTCTGGTATTGTTGCATGTACTTTCTCTGGTTTGATGTCCCATTACCATGCTGTGCATGGAATAAAATCAGTTTCCATGACTGGAATCAAGCAACATTGTGTACTTACTTAGATTGTATCCTGTTGTTAAAAAGAATATCTTGGATCGAAATCCTCTAATACATTGTTTGAACAGCATTGGAATTGAATGTGCTTTTTTCTTAATGTTTAGAGCTACATTTCCTAATGGGAGCAAGTGCAGCAGGGGTTAGCACACCAACTTTCCATACCTGGAGACTCAAGCTTAAATAGGTCTCTGATCTGAATGAGCTTGGTGATTATCTCTAGTATATATCTTATAAGCAAAATCCTCAGGCTGTTTTCATAACTGAGGCTTGGAATTGAAAAGATAAGAATACTGCAAAGAAGCAGAACTGATATAACTACAGAGGGAGTTGGCACAGCACATGTCTGTAATCTCTATCAATAACTTTTTATTGAACACTTGATCTAAAACAAGCTTCTAAAGTGCGGCCCCTTCTTTGGTAATGTCTCTGATGTTAACTGTCTTTATCAGAAGTCTGAAGGTGTTCAGAGGGAGAAGGATACAAAGAATCTTTTTTACATCCTTAAAACTGTAAGAAGGCATGTACAGGGATTAACATGAAGGGGAGGGCTTCTGGGCCAGTGGGAAAAGTTCTTTCTGTAGTTTTCCCTACTGAACCTGGGTGGAGCAGTATAAAATAAAAAAGATTAGTAGGAGCAAGGATTGTCTTTATCAGTGCTAGAGGCATTTTTTGCGATGTTAGTAAGTCTTGCACCAGCTCCTAACTGACCTCAAAGGCACCTCCAATTAGGCACTGTACTGTTTAAATTTTAGGCATCCTGCCACAGGAGGGTTATCCTACTTGAACGAGTTACATACCTGCATCTCCCATGAATGGAGAGTCATATGTTCTTCCCAGGGCTGATCTGGATCACCTAGTTGAGTGGTTCTCAGCCTTTTTAGATCCAAACCCCTTGTTAGACCCAAGCCACTCCTCAGAAAATGCCAGCTCTTGCTTTCCCCTGTGTGGTTTTTTGTTTCTGTTTTTTGTTTTACTACAGTGCAATTGCACTGTTTCACAAAGCTCAGAAAGACCACAACGCTCAGAAAGTTTTGACACTATGGAATCCTATTTGAAGTCACTGGGTTTGTCTTGTGAATCATGTGTACTAAACAGCACTAATATTGTATGGCACTCTGAGGCACAGATGCCAACTTTGGTTTTTGCTGCTTGGTGCTTTTTTTTTTTTTTTTTTTGCATTCCTGTGCCAAGCCCTGCACATGCCCAGAAGAGGCAGCGCATTACTTCAACCCAGCTTACCTGACATGGCTCATAGGTGCTGAACACTCACTATTTTTTTTTGGTGGGTGCTTGAGCCCTGGAGCACCCATGGAGTTAGTGCCTATGCCTTGAGGCACCTTTAAAGGATCTCAAGACACTCCAGGGTGCTACAACACCCTGGTTAAGAATCAGTGATCTACTCCCTCAGAAGGAAGGTGCCTAATAACAGCCAACAGAAGCACTATGTTTAGGGATGTGTCTGAGCTCCTGCTCCTCCTCACAGCTCAAGTGTTAGATGCAGTGGCCACATCTACATGTGTGCTTTACTATAGAGTAAACTAATTAGCTGTGTTAAACTCAGTCGCCACATTTACCCGGGTAACGGTATTAGACTGCAGTAAAGTAATTAACTCCACCGTAAGATAATACTGCCAGGGACTAACTATTTTACAGCAAGGTAATTAACTGTGATTAAACGCGCGTATAGACATTGACTGTGGGTACAAGTTGTGTCCAGGCAGCCCAGCCAGCAGGAGGCCAGACTCCTGGCTGCCACCTAGCCACACAGTTTTGCACTTTCAGGAGTCTTGTGCCCCAGCCAGCCCTTCTGCCACCCAATGCCACCGCCTGGAGCCTGGACCTGAGCTCCTGTGGCATAAACTGCTCCACCCCAAATCAAACTGCTGCTCTCTCAGGCACATATGTAGACACTGTGCCCAGTAGTTTACTCTGGCTCAGACTGCTCCAGAGCTTATTGCTTTGAATTAATTGCATGTGTAGATTCAACCAGCATTACAAGAAGGTGTTTCCATCATGTCATTGCTCACAGGGAACAGTCTGAAGAGGTTTAACTAGAGTATATTTATTATTTAACTATGACTTTCATCTTCATCAAGTATCTAATGAACTGACATTTCAAAATATTAGTTTCTTGTATTCTATTTTGTATGTCTTTTCTTCCCCTACCATCACTGTTTTATTTCAGTGCTATCTGAGAACCTGAAAGGAACAGACTATAGCACTTCCCATCTGAGGACTTCAAAGTGCATAAAATCCTGAATAAGTTAAGCCCTTGCTCTATTCCCCTGAGGAAAGTATTGTTTTTGTTGTTGCTATTCATTTTACAGATGGGAAAACTGAATTAGACAACAAGGTTGAGCAACTTTGCTTATGACAAGTCAAAGGCAGTGCCAAAACTACAACACAAGAATGATAATTTTCAGTGCTTTGTCCCAACCTCTGTGTTACATTTTACATGATGGGCTGTGTTTTTCCCTAAACAGTTTGGTTGCATATCAGTGTGTGGAGTTCATGAGAACAAGTAGGAAAATCCAGATCAGCTGAGGTTTCTAATGCATTGGGCTTATGTGATATTTTCCAGTTACAGATAAGAAACATGCCATTGGTCTGTTGTATACTGGCTCAGAGGTGGCAATAATGGTGTTTTCCATAAAACTGTCTTCAACTATAAATGGGCAATGAAATATGCATAAGGGAAATTGGAAAGAGAGAGTGTGAGAGAGGTCTTTATGTGCTTCCTTGAATTATTTTCCTTTTACAAACAAA